TATAATATATTTATATTAAATATAAATTGTAATATATATTTAAGAATGACTGGCAAAAGTTGAAATTGATTTCCACTGTACAGGAAGATTATATAAAAAAATAAACTACATAATATCTATTTCTATACTTTATACACACATTGTCACAAACTTCAAAATCTTTTTCACACTTTTGTTTGTCTTCTTAAAGAAATTAGAAAACCAGTAACATTTACAGTAATCTTATTCAGAAAGAAAAATTATATACACACACAAGACGCTCTAATATCTCACAAACTGCAACGTATAAAGCATTTAATATATAACGTTTTTTAGATTCACTAGAAAACGTGAACCCAGATTGGAACACTTGACGAGCCTTAACATTACCTACGTTTATTTCATGATTTTTAAGGGGCGGGAACTATGTATACAACGTGTAATAACAATCTTAATAGAAGTATTTCATGGAAGTACAGCGGGTTTAATATATTTCTACTTTCCACGCTATTGTAGATAATATAAAAGCTCTCTTTATTTATATAGATTTCTATTTACTTATAAATATCAACAAGAACTTTGAAATTGTAAAAAGAATTTTTTTTTTCGTTCCATCTCAAATGGAACATAGTTTTTTTCTATACATATATAAGTTTTCTATACAAAATTTTTCAATGTGCTTTCGCACTACTTGATTGGTTATTTCCAATCGTGTCACATCTTCGGTAATAGAGTAAATAAGGTACCCTAGGTGAGGTGGGCCTCAGTACGTTATTCTCTGTAACACTCTTCACCGTACTGTCGTCATACCTAACCCAGCAGCCATATCCTACGTGGAAGGCGTCAGTGAAGTAATGTCCCTTGGTGGCTTCCTTCCCATCGTGATATGTCACCGCGAATAATTTGTATTGTTTTTGTTTGGGTCCTAATTTTTTCGCAGTGTTCGGTGATAAAAATTCTACAAAAATAATTTTCACGTTACGCTTGCCTCATAGAAATTAGAGTAGGGTAAGATGGATTGAAACTATTCAGTATACTTACTGCCATCAATTTTTAAGTCGATAGGGAATTCCATAGTCTTTAATATTTTGGAACAGCCATTGGAATACTTATCGAACTTATACACGAACCATTTTAGATGTAATATGAGGATGACTGGCAATTCCTCTAAAGTAACTTGTTTCCAAGCCTCTATTTGTTGTCTCGTTTTACTGCAAGTCAGTCCTTCTACCTGATCTTTACCGACGAGAATCTCAAGAGCGTGTTTTACAGATTCGGCTTTCTGTAATATATTATATTGTATTAGTTATAAAAAATTTCGTATTACAATTTAATTCATTCAAAAGTCTTAGTACTAACTTGAACATCCAACTGCAGTGTGAAAAATGGTTGTACATTATCCGTTGGTTGTTCTCCTGCTCTTGACACTCTGGATCGTAATTGTCCGCGGAAAATATCAGATATTGGTGTTCTTCCGAATTCTGTACACCGCGTGACAGCACCTTTATTTTTTGGTCCCATTACCTATATTAAAATAAGAACAAATAATATTGTTTTTTTATAAATTTTGGTTGATATTGTGATAAACTTGAGAGATATTTATACAATATTAATAACTTTTTAAATATATTGTTAAAATATCTTACCTGCCACTCTTCCTCATCGTGATCGTTGCTAATATTTTTCGCATTACCAATTGCATTTTGATCATTGTTAATTAATTTTGTCACCTATGAAAAAATAGTCAAATTTTTTTTAGTAGTTATCTAAATTTTTTAAGAAATAAATATTGGTTTATATTTTTATTAATATTTTTATTAAAATTTTTAAATAAAAATATACATACATCCAACATTTCGTCATTGATTCCATTTAAAAGACATGATAAGAATTCTTCCGCATCTTCCTGTCGTCCTTCCACAGAAAAAGCACAAGAAGCCGAAGTATGTTTTAACATTGTATATACATATGCTGGTTCAAATGCAACACCGCTATATATGTCCATGACAGTATCTTCTCCTCGTTTAACTCTATCTTTTCTGGGCATACGAGCGGCCTCTGTCAAGGGTGTAAATTCACGAACAAATTTGACCCTTAGCAAAATAAAACAATTTTAAATATGAACATAATTTTTATAAGATGTAGAGAAAAATATTATAAATTATAAAATATTATAAATATATTAAGTATTTTTTTAATTACTGTAATTACTTACATGTTATCAATCAAGGGCGTAGCAGAATTTCTGCTTCGGTTTTTAGGAAGTGGTAAAGCTATGAGAAGATTATAGAATGGTGGACAAGCCAGTAAAGCTTGTAAGATACTATTGATATAACAGTAATTGCTGCGATTTGTTAATCCCCTCGGTAATAAGCTCACTGTTTGCTTGTCCATTTGATAACCCAACAAAAATTCTAGACACACATAATATTTATTTAAGAAGTTCGTATTCAATGTATACATATAATATTTAGATCTCAACAATTTATCGTTTTAAAAGATTGGATCGCCTTTTGTACTTACCACCTATCCTGTACGTATTAGGATCGTCATAACAATTTTGTAGTATGCCATTTTGTAGAGTTGGTGTGCTAGATGAATTATTTTGATTCTCTGGAGTACGAACAGGACTAATTGATTCTTTTTGGACCATGGTTTTTGGTGATTCATTTTGACAAATTATATGTTCTGTGGGTTTGCACGAAGTATGTGTCTCTGATGTACTGTCTTTCTTAAAAAGACTAGCAAAGGATCTGATGGTTGGAGCCGCAGGTGGTGTTTCAGGTATAGATGATGATGAAGTACTTGGTGTGCTTAAAGAGTCATTTGGCATAGCAAAGGAGTTGTTTGGCGATTTAATAATAGTCTTATCTTGGGAATCTTTCAATGCAATATTTTCCTCAATTTGTGTTTCATTTTTTTCTGTCTTAGAGATAGGTTTAGGCGAAGTTTTGACGATATTTGTTGTAATATTGGATACAGTTTCATTTTTAAATTTCTTATCCGCCTCATTATTTTGGTTTACCTTGACGTCAATATTAGTATTTATTACAGATGGCATGTCAACTTTTTCCGTGCCATTACAATTCTCATTTACAGTCCATACAATATTGTTTTGGAGTTTTGCATCAATCTTTTCATTATTAGTCACATTTTTTTTATCGGCAGTGCTTTCATTTATGTTTTTCACATGGGACTCTAACGTAGGATTATTTACAATAACAGTATTAGCGACGTTACTTGGCAAGGAGTTATCTTCATTTATTTGATGCGTTGATTTATCAGAAGTGCTTTGCGCATATTTTTGAAATGGAACGACAGGTTCTTTCATAGGTTCTTGGTTTGGTTGTTGGGATGGTACAGATTGTCGCACGGATCTGTTTATCTGCGGCGCTTGATGATTCGGTTGAGGATAAGTCAGATGTGCATGCGAATTGGATGAAACTGATTGCGCATTTGAATGCGGATGAGGAATCGTTGAATACATTGGTTGTGTGAAATAGACCTGTCCGGTAGCTACTTGATGTTGTTGTGTAGAGACAGAATGATCAGGATAGATGTACATGATCGGTATCTGATATTGCGTCTGATCGCCGATGTATCCCGACTGGACTTCATTAGTGGGATTAAGTATTCGATTATAATTATCTCTCCTTATACCTCTGCCCCGACTGTTGCGGCGTCCATTTTCTCTACTGTAATTCATTTCTTGAATCTCGGCGCCAAGACTATATCCAGGATGGGCATATGCCACTCCAGATATAAACGGTGGAATGTGGCCGTTCGCGGAAACATTGTACATTGATGCTTGCCAGTCATTACACATTTGCGTCATCAATTGTTGCGGATAAGTAGGCGCCGGTGGCATAGCTACAAATAAGATGAAGCAATTTCAACATTAAAAAAAATTTTTGATTCTTGAAAATGCACGAATAAATGCATATATTATATCATCTAAGATATTGACTGGCTATTATATTTATTTATTATATTTAATCTATATTTACAAAAAATTCGCTTTAAACATATCTTAATATACTTTAAAGAATCATATAAAAAGATAGAATAAAATTTTTATATAATAAAATTTGTAGAAATGCAAGTATATTCACCATTATACCAATGATGTTGTTGAAGTTCTGGTACTTGTGTTATTCCGACAGAATCAACGTTATTGTTATTACCCTCTATATCTTTCGCGTCCCATGGTAGTTTTAAGGCTTCAGTAATGTCAGATTTAAGAATGGTAAATATCTGACGCTTATCATTATCAGTTAAATCATGTAAATCTAAAAACTGAAGATTCATCTAAAAGAGAAAAGATAGAAATATGTTAAATGTAAATAAACGTTATATTAGAAATTACATTAGATAATTACACAACGCATATTCATATTCGTACATAACGTTTGCGATTCTTGCAATAAATTATATTTATATCATGCGATACATTTTTTAAAACTATTGATTTACAATTCAGCACAGTTATCAAAATCGCGACATTTAATTTTTTAATTTTTGTATCATAAAACATAAAAAATTAATTTTTATTTAATATTTAATTGATAATAAAAAACTATTCGTTATTAAAGGACTTCTCAATATTACATTTTTTAACAAAGAAAAATTTTGAGCCGGAAAGATATTTTATTACGTTGAAAATCAACTAAAACTTTAAAAGGCATTTTTCTCAAAATTACATTTTTCTGCAATTTTACTATTATTTATGAATAATTTCAAGAAGGATAATTATAGATTTCAAGAATAATATTGAGACGATGATTCTTTAATGTGATAATTGATATTAGAATGAATTTTTTTCTTAAAAATCTTTTTTTTCTTTTATTAAAAATTTTTTATAATCAAATTTTATACAAATTAAATTTAAATATCGTCAAATCAACAATATCAAAAAAACAATTTCCTTCTTAAATATTCTAAAAGAATATTTTTTAAAAATTCCAAAGAAATTAATTTTATGCAACTATTTTATCAATAAAACTTTATTTTGAAGATGTAATTAATAAAAAATTTATTCTAAAAAATATTGTTTGTCAAATTTCACGATAAAATTGTTCAATTGTGACAAAACAAAATCTTTTTTCGACTAAGTTTATATTTTTCAATAAATGTTTTTGCAATGTTCGGTATCGTATTTTTCCCTCAATGTAAGACTATTATTAAAAAAATTATACTTGCAATAATTATAAGTAATTTGTGAAAAATAATTTTTCATATTTATCTTTTCTAACTTTCAAAGATTTCATCTCTCTTCGCAAGTATCTTCAAAATTATTTTTCTATTCTAATTATATTTTTATTTCGACATCTGTATACATTAAACTCTTACTCTTGACATTTAATATTTCATTTTCATTATAATTAAGAAATATGTCTCTCATATATATATAGTAAGCGATAAAAAGTAAAAAGTTAAAATAAAAAAGTTGAACACAAATAATATAAAAAAATTTTCAATTATTAAACAAAAAATTTGATGTCTAATAAATTTTTGAACATTTTTAAATATATTTTGCTTTTATATTTATTGTTAGAATATAAAATGTATCGATTATTATTCGTTCCCGAAACTGCTTTTATTTTTTTTTTAATTAGAAATGTTATAATTTTGTATTATTAAATTAATATATAATTCGACATTATTTATCATAAATATTATTTATCATAAAAAATTTATCAGAAAGTCTCGACTTAGCTAGGATTAAAAAATTTTCTTGCTATCTATAGGTATCAATTTATGAAGGAATTGATATTTCTCACATTAAACAATAAATACCTCGATGAATACTAAAGAAAATATTGTTTTTTTTTAACAGAGTAAAAAACATTTTAAATAAATTTAAAAAATTTAAATAAAAAAAAATCTACTAACAACTTTTCTACTTTTACGATCATTTTAGTATCAAGATTAATATTTCTAGAA